TTGGGGAGAAAAAAAATATATATATGGTGCCTAAGGCATTTGACTGTTAACCAGAAGGCTGACAGTTCAAACCCACCAGCCACTCCTCAGAATAAAGACTGGGCAATCTACTTCTGTAGTGATACCACTTTGGAAACCCAAGGAGGGGTTGCTATGAGTTGGATCCAACTCAGCAGCAGTGAGTTTGGTTTTGGTTTACAAAAGATGAAGGAGCTCTGGTAATATATATGAAAAATGAAGGCGCTCTGGTGGCAACGCGCCTAAGGCATTTGACTGCTAACCAAAAGGTTGGCGGTTCAAACCCACCAGCCACTCTGTGGAAGGAAGATGGAGCAATCTACTTTGATAAAGATTTACTGCCTTGGAAACCCAACAGAGGTCGCTGTGAGTCAGAATGGACTTGACAGCAGTGAGTGTTGTTTTGTTTTTTAAAACCAAAAATTATTAGTGTTGCCAGGGGTAGGAGGGAGGGGGAAAAGGGAAGCTTTTGTTTGTGGGGCACTGAGTCTATGCTAACGGTGGTGGAATATTTTGGAAAAGGATAGCAACGATGGTGGCACAACATGAAAAATGTCATCAATGTCCCTGAGCTGTAAATGGGAAAGTTATGCTGGTGAATGTCTTATGTATGTTTTCACCACAATCAAAGTTAGAAAGAAAGAAAGACAACCCACAGTGTGTCCCCTGGTGAGATAAGGGTCCTCAGGACAGCCCTGTGAGCCAGTGACCCAGCAGCTCTGTCACCTGTCACCCCCAGAACCTCATTACATTTGTGGATGAGCTTCTGGAGGAGCCCGGGGATCTGGAGGTCCTGGACCTGCCTGCCCGGCACCGCGTCGCCACCCAGCTGCTCTTGGGCCTTGAACAAGTCCTGAGAACCCTGGCCCAGGCCTTGCCTGAAGCCTCCTTCACCTACCATTCCCCTGCGAACACAGGTGAGGCCTCATCCTGCCCTGCCCAGCCCCAGGCCTGTCCTGCACCCGGCAGCTCCCCAGTCACGGCCCCTCTCCCCTCAGAGCTGTCCCTGAAGATCCAGGAGAACAGAGATGGGGACAAGCACGTTATCGTGGGCCAGAGCCACGCGCGGATGCAGCTCAACTGGGCCACAGCAGCTCCAGACAAGGACTCGGGTAACGGCAGGGGCCAGGAGGGCCAGTCATGGGACACAGAAAGGGGCTTTCTCGGGAGAAGGCCAGCGTGAGGTTCAGAATATGTACCAACTGAGCACTGACCCACTGGGTGGGACTCCAGGCATCACAGTGGGGCTGGCCGAGCCTGGATTTGATGCATTAGGAGGGAACGGGGGATGGGGGAGGAGGGAAAGCAGGAAGAGGCAGTAAGTCTGTCTGTCCCCCAGGCCCCACGGTGGTGGGCATCCTCTCCAGCCTGAAAATGCAGAGATTGCTAGCCAATGCCTCCTTGGACCTGGAGCCCTGGAAGAAAGCTGAGCTGGAAGAGACTCACGAAAGCCCAGTCCAGGGGGCCCAGCTCAGTGTCCTCTCGGCTGTCAACTCCGCATTCCTGAGCAACACAAACACAGAGAAACTTGACTCTCCCATCACCTTTGCCTTCTCCCACAAAGTGAGTCCTCAGGCTGGGAGGAGGGGGGTTATCCTCCTGTTCACCCCACAGCCCAGGTCATGGCAGCCCCTCTGCAGCCTCCATTTCCCCACTTCTTCTCACTCTGGTCTTTCCTCAAACCTACCTCAGGGCTTTTGCACCTGCTACTCCATCTGCCTAGGACCCTCTTCCCCTAGAGGTGCCTCTGTCCTTTATCTGTGTCACCTCACCAAGGCCTTTCCTGACCTCCCTATTTATAATGACAGCTTGTAATCCTGCCACATGCCCCCGGAGCACTTCTCTCCTAACACACATTGTAGTTTACTCGTTTGCTAAGTTTAAGTCAGGGGCAGATTACCCAATAAGTAAGGTAAACATGGCTTTACTTTACTAATTTACTTTGATGCAGTGAAAAAAACAGAGGAAACTGTTCACTACTGATTAGTAAGTAAGCACATGCAAGTCCATGTTTACCTTGCTTACTGGGTACTCCGTCCCTCTCAGGGATTGTAAATTTGAAGAGATTTTGATTCTGTAGGAAGGTGCTGTGGGGCTGGGAGAGAGGATGCCATCCCTAGCTTGAAGCACAATCTTTGATGTGGTGGAAAAATGTGGAATCATTCGCTACAGAGTTGTAAATAAGCACAAGTAAGCCCGTGCTTACCTTGCTTCTTGGGTAACCTGACCCTGATTATTATTTATCATCCCCGTAGCATACCAGCCCCTAGAGGACAAACATACACATACATATATATATTTATTTGTGTGTGTGTGTGTGTGTGTGTGATTTGGATGGAGGTTTACAGAGCAAATTCATTTTCCATTCAACAGTTCATACATATTTTGTTTCATGACATTGACTGCAATCCCTTCAATGTAACAGCTCTCTTCCACTTCTTCCCTGTAGTTACCTCTTCCTTGTGTCCTTCTTTCCTATGCATTCCTGCCCCCTGAGCTGTCTCCCTGTGCAAATGCTGCCCTTCTGTTCTTCCATGATTGACCATTCTAAGGGGTGTATCTGCCTGGTGTAAATGTTCACCCTATAGGCCTGTCTATTGTTTGACTGGAAGCCATGGGAGTGAGTTCAATTCCAGGCTCAAAGGGTGACTAGTTACATAGTCTTGGGGGTTTCACTGTCTCTATCAGACTAATAAGCCTGATCATTTTTATGATTTTGAGTTTTGCTCCATTTTTCTCCCACTGTATCCAGGGTCTCCAATTTTGACCCCTTTTCAAGTGGTTGGCAGTGGTAGCTGGGTACCATCTAGTTTTTCTGGCCTCAGGCTCATGTCGGCTGAGGTTCCCATGGGAGGGGAGATTTTTGTCTTCTCTGTTCACTGCTGTGTCCCAGGGCCTGGCAAACAGTAGGTGCACAGTAAATACTAGTCAATGAGAAGCAGCCCTCCCTGAGCCCAGCCCGAGCTCAGGACCCAAGAGGGGGCTCTAGCCAACCTCTCTGACTGCCCCACCTACCCACAGCTGGAGACGCCCGGGCCACGGCAGGAACTGATCTGCGCCTTCTGGAGGGGTGACAGCCACAAGGGCGGGCAATGGGCCACCACAGGCTGCCAGATGCTAGGCAGTGGGAATGGCAGTACCACCTGCCAGTGCAGCCACCTGAGCAGCTTTGCCGTCCTCATGGCCCACTACAAGGTGGAGGTGAGCAGCCCCGGCACCATCCTCAGAGGGGGACAGGTGGGAAGGTCGGCCTCGAGGAGACTGCCAGTTGGTTCTCGGTGGTCCAGCCCAACTGCTTATTAAATATTTCCATATGGTTGGACCACCCAGGTGGCCCCATGCCCCCTTCCTCTCCCTGGGGCTCCCTTGTTCTTGGTTGCTGTTGAATCGATTCTATCTCATAGAGACCCTATATAAGATAGAGTAAGGAGGCTCTGGTAGCATACTGCCTAAGGCACTTGACTGCTAATCACAAGGCTGGCGGTTCAAACCCACCAGCCACTCCTTGGAAGGAAGGCTGGGCAATCTACTTCCATAGTGATACTGCCTTGGCAACTCAAGGAGGGGTCGCTATGAGTCGGGTCCAACTCGACGGCACATAACAACAACAACAAGACAGAGTAGAACTCCATAGGGTGTCCTATGTGTATGAACCCTCCCTGTAGCAGAGCCCATCAGCAGGTCTTTTCTCCCTAGGACCCAACAGCTACACTAAGCAGCCTGGCAGTGCGGGGCCCAGCTCCAGCCAGCACCTCTCTGAAGTCCCCCCATACCAGTTGTTATATATGTGGCACATATGTGGCCTCAGGGGGAACCACTATGAGCCAGGCCAGGATGGATAGCTGGGGCTGGCCACACAGCGTAGAGGAGGCTGGTAGTACAAGCCAAAGGTCTAGCAAGTGCAAAAGTGTGGAAGAGCCAGGTGCGGGAGGGGCGGTTGATGAGGTCAGCAAGGTGGCCCCGTCCTGAGTGTTGGGAAACAGGAATGAAGCAATGGAATCTGCCCTGGAGTCTTTTGCCAGAGCAGTCAAGTGGGCAGTAGGCAGGAGGCCAGCCACTGGAGTGGAGACTGGAAATCAGAAGAGAACTAGGAATTCCAAGCTGTGCCCACCAACACCCCCCAAAAAACCAAATCCACTGCCACTGAATTGATTCCGACTCATAATGACCCCCATAGGGTTTCCAAGGCATCATGGAAGCAGACTGTCTCCTCTTTCTCTGGACCAGCTGATGGCTTTGAACCGCAGACCTTTATGGTTAGCCGCCAAATGCCTCAGTATGGCGTCACCAGAGCTCCTTGCTGCTGTGCTACAGGGAGGGTTCATTTCAGATGAGAGAGACAGAGGCAGGCTGTGTTAGATGTTGAAGGCGAGAACCCGGATTACAGTCCCGTAGACTGTCTCAGGCAGGTCAGTGGGGGCAGAGAGGTTTCAGGGCCCCTATTCGAAATCCTGGGCTCTGGTAGCATAGTGGCTAAGTCACTTGCCTACTAACCAGACGGCTGGCGGTTCAAACCTACCAGCCACTCCTTGGAAGGAAGGTTGGGCAATCCTACTTCCGTAGTGATACTGCCTCGGAAACCCAAGGAGGGGTCGCTGTCAGTCGGGGCCGACTCGACGGCACATAACAACAACAACAACAACATTCGAAATCCTACCACCCTGTACTGCCCCCAGGACCCGAAACTGGCCTTGATCACCAAAGTGGGGCTGTCGCTGTCGCTGATTTGCCTGATGCTGTGCATCCTCACGTTCCTGCTGGTGCGACCCATCCAGAGCTCGCGCACCACGGTGCACCTACACCTCTGCATCTGCCTTTTCGTGGGCTCTGCTATCTTCCTGGCAGGCATCGAGAACGAGGGTGGCCAGGTAAGGTCACATCCCATGAGGGCTTTGCTTCAACGGAGCCCGGGGACAGCGAAGCCCAGGAGAGCATGGCCCCACCGGCCCCTGGGGCTAGATCTGGAAGGTCTACTGGACTAGACCTGGAGTTCAGGGCACTGTCCCTGCCTGGGATACGGCCCCGCCCACTCTGGCTTTAGGGGCGTAAAACCACAGTCCGGGCTTCGCTCACCTCCAAGGCCAAGGGTTGCGGGCTGGGGTAGCTCATGGCCAGTCCACTAGAGCTCCAGCGCCTCTCCAGCACACCTAGTCTTAGCCGGGTCCACTCGAGTCTTGGCCTCACCCACCCCTACTTAGCAGATGGAGCGGAAACTAGCAGAGCATGACCCAGGCTCCACCCCTCTAGGCCTTGGCCCCACTTTTGCACATCCAGACCCCGCCCACTTTCGAGGACTCTAGCGGAGACTGGCTCAGGCGGCGCGTTGCCCCGCCCATAGCCGGCCCCGCCCCGCGTTAACGTCCCCTGCTCCGCCCGCAGGTGGGGCTGCGCTGCCGCCTGGTGGCCGGACTGCTGCACTACTTCTTTCTGGCCGCCTTCTGCTGGATGAGCCTTGAGGGCCTGGAGCTTTACTTCCTCGTGGTGCGCGTGTTCCAAGGCCAGGGCCTGAGCACGCGCTGGCTCTGCCTCATTGGCTACGGCGTGCCCGGCGTCATCGTCGGCGTCTCAGCGGCTGTCAACAGCCAGGGCTATGGCCGCGTCCCCTAGTAAGTATGGCAAGCCTGAGGACTGGGGCAGCCTGGGGTTCCTGAGGCACTCACTGACAGGACTCTTCCCCTCTCAGCTGCTGGTTGGACCCGGCCGGTGGCTTCCTTTGGAGCTTCTTGGGACCAGTGACCTTCATCGTTCTGGTAACTACCCTCCCCACACACCCACCCAAAGCCTAAGCGAGCCAGCCCCTGGTGGACCACTCCGCCTCCCTGCGAGTTCCTTGGGCACCTCTAATCTGAGTTCCATGCTTTCCACTCAGTGCAATGCTGTCGTCTTTGTCATTACTGTTTGGAAGCTCACCCAGAAGTTTTCTGAAATCAACCCAGACATGAAGAAATTAAAGAAGGCAAGGTGAGAGGAAAGGCGGGAGGAGAGGGGGAGCTGGTGTGAGGTGGGGGTGTGGAGAGCCTGGCCTCGCCCCTGCTGCAGCTGGCCTGCCCTGCTCTCCCCAGGGTGCTGACCATCACCGCTGTGGCCCAGCTCTTTGTGCTGGGCTGCACCTGGGTCTTCGGCCTGTTCCTGTTCGACCCGCACAGCTGGGTCCTGTCGTACATTTTCACCATCCTCAACTGCCTGCAGGGTCTCTTCCTCTTCCTCCTGCACTGCCTGCTCAACAAGAAGGTGCAGTGGGCCAGCCTGGGGTGGAGAGCGGTGGGGCACAGGGCCTGGGCCACTCCTCCCCCTGACCTAGCATCTGGACCACACAGGTGAGGGAAGAGTACTGGAAGTGGCTCTGCCTGGTCACCAGAAACAAATACTCGGAGTTTACCTCATCCACGTCTGCCACCAGCCACAACCAGACCCGGGTAGGGGTGTGGGAAGGGGGTGTGGGAAGGGGGTCATCCAGCCGCTAGCACAGGCCTCACTGACTCCTCCCCCTCCAGGCCCTCAGGCAGTCAGAATCCGGAATGTGACAGCCTGGGGTGGTTCTGGACAGGCCCGCAGCCCCTGCGGCCTTAGCAGCTTTTTGCACATGCTGAAGACCCACCCGTTCTCTCCGACCACTCTGCTCTTTGCACCAAAGAGGGTGACAGCAGTGGTCTGGCACCAAACCCCAGACCACCAGCCAGGACAGGACAGGCGGACCTGCTTCTGGCTGCCTCTCTACTCCACCCTGGCAGCAACTCAACCAAAGAAAACCAAAATCACTGCTGTCGATTCCAACTCAGCAACCCTGTAAGACAGAGTAGAACTGCCCCATAGGGTTTCCAAGGCTGTAAATCTTTATGGAAGCAGACTGCTTCATCTTTTTCCTACTGAGCAGCTGGTGGGTTTGAACCACCAACCTCCTGGTTAGCAGCTGAATGCTTTTAGCTACTGCACCACCAGAGCTCTTGGCAGCAACCCAGGATGGGGAAAGGAGCTGGCCCAGGGCTGTAGCCTGGGTACAGGTCTCAGAGACAGACTGAGGGAGGGCTCCAGTCCCTGCCCTGGCCCCTTCCCCTTATCTACCTGTCCTATAGACTAGAGGGACTGGGTGCTGGGCTCCAATTTCCCTTGCAAGCTAAGACTGATGTCGGGGTGGGAAAGGCTAGGGCCGAGGTGCCCAGTCTGCCCCAAGGTTCACGGTACAAAAGCCCAACTGGCCAGGGCAGAAGTTTCTGTTTTGGAGACTGTGGATGTCGTGTAATGTTTTTTATCTGTATAAACCTTTCAATGTTGACAAAATTAAAGATCACACTGACACAGGGTGATGTGCTGCTCGCTGGCCCCCAGTGCGACGAAATGCTGGTGATGGTGGAGAACAGAGTGGGTGGGAGTCAGGCTTCCATAATAAACATTTATTCTCATGCCAATCTACAGCTTCAAAACAGTAAAAAGAAATCTGTCATCGCTAAGGGAAGAAGAGACTGGAAAGCAGCAGGCAAGAGGCAGGGGTGGCTCAGCTCATGGGCGCTGGGTTACCGGCTCTGCTCAACTGGAAGACACGACAGAGAAGGCCCGGTAAGGGGAGGCCCTCCGCTCCAGCCCCCGGCCCCAGGCCCGTCCACTTACTGTATGTGGAGATGTCAATTTCTTCTGGAAGCTCTGCCACATTCACTTCGAATCGATCCTGGACTTCATTGAGGGTTTTAGCATCATTCTCGTCAGATACAAAAGTAACAGCCAGGCCTTTGGTGCCGAAGCGGCCCGCACGGGCCACCTGCAAGGGGACAGGAGCAGGGGTCAGTTCCCTGCCCCTTTCCCAGGAGAGAGATGTACAGGAGATAGGCAGCTCTCCACGGGCCACTCACCCGGTGTAGGTAGGTGTCCGAGTCCTCGGGCATGTCATAGTTGAAGACGATGTTGACCCGCTCGATGTCCATCCCCCGGCCAAACAGATTGGTGGCCACCAGGATGCGCCGCTGGAAATCCTTGAACTGCTGATAGCGTGACAAGCTGGGGTGCAAGGCGAACACGAGGAGGCGTCAGGTGTCAGCTCTCTGGGCAGGTTCCCCTTTGAGGGCCATCCCAGCCACGCACTCACCGCTCCTCCTGGGCCATGCCCCGGTGGATGGCTATGGCCGGGAAGTTCTGTTCCACGAGGAGCTCGGCCAGGGCCATACAGCGCTGCACAGACCTCACGAAGACAACCACCTGCAACAGAGCAGCAGTGAGGGCGGCGGCGGCGGCAGGCGAAGCCAGAGTCCCCAGCATGCCACAGCACTTATCACCTGGTTAAACTCCAGCACGTCCAGGAGATCGAAGAGCTTGCGGTTCTTCTCGCTGTCCTTGAGCTTGACGTAGTACTGCTGCAGTCCGTGCAGTGTCAGCTTGGTCTCATCGTCCACAAACACCTCCATGGGCTGTGGGGATGGGAGATGGAGAGAGGTGAGCACGGCTCACGTTTGAGCTTCCTACCTGCCCAAGAAACCTTCCAGAAGGGATGCCTCCCAAAGGGCCTGCTGTATCCCGACCTCAGTAACAGTTTTGCTACCAAAAGCTGAAGCTATGCTCTCATCCAGCTCAGTTTGGGGGAGGAGAAGAGGGCTCCGCCCAGCCCCCAGCAGCCCCTGTGATGCCCCAGCGAGACCAGAGTGGCTGTGCTAAAGCTTGGTCCTGTGGACAGCGAGGTTTTGCCCAACTCACATCCTGCATGAACTTCCTGCAGACGGGCCGGATCTCCTTGCTCAGGGTGGCACTGAACATCATGCACTGCTTCTCATGGGGGGTCAGGCGGAAGATCTCCTGCACGTCCCGCCGCATGTCTAGGTGGAGGGACAGGAAGACAGATGGGCATGAGAGCCTGCCAGGCACGGCCCCCACCCGAGAGCAGACTCAGACCCCTCCCAACCTGAGCCAGGGAGCCGCTGGCACCGTGATGAGGGTGGGTGCTGTGAGCCGGGACCAAGTGGGGGGTGGGGTGAGTCCCAAGGTGCCTGAGGGGCTAGACTCGGGGTGAGCGCAGGCAAGGGAGGAGCTACGGTCCACTTACACGCGACCAGCGTGGAGCAGCCATGCCATTGCGCCTCGTGCCACGCTTCAGGGAGGGGAGCCTGAGGCAGAGACAGCTGCTGGGGTGAGAGCTGCAGCTGCCCTGGACACAAGCCCCGTCTCCCACTGGGCCTGTTAGGGCTCCCGGAGGGCAGGGGGGCCTAGAACTAACACCATGGGCTGCTAGGTAACAACATTACTGGGGGCAATGTGTGCCTGGGGTCCAGGGAGTAGCAATCACACTGGCACCACCAGATCCTTCCCGAAGATGTGCCCAACGCCACCCATGCCCCACCTCGGGAAGCCTACTGCCAGGGCCCCGGCCTTGCCGTGCACTCACCCAGCTGCTCCAACATCCTGTCGCATTCATCCAGCACGAAGTGCTTCACGTTCTTCAGGCTGAGGTTCCTGCTCCGCACAAGCGCCAGGATACGGCCCGGGGTCCCCACCACCACGTGCGGGCAGTTCTTCTTCAGCACCTCTTCGTCCTTCTTGATGGAAAGGCCACCGAAGAACACAGACACCTAGAGGGACAGGGAAGAGGGTGCTTTTGCCCACCAAAGCTCATCCCCTCCATGCTGACACTCAGCCCATGGCCCTGTCAGCCCAGCCTGCAGGCCTTGAGAAGGACCACCACACCTCCAGGCTTGAGAACAGACCAGGCCTGAAGGGACACAGGCCTTGGAGCCTGTCCGGCTCCCCTGAAAAGCAGCCCTGGGCTGGGGCAGCACAGGCCTCGGGGATGATGCATAATTCATCAAGCTTTTAAGGAGCATAAACCACCGCAAACCTCAAAGGCAGCTGCTGCAGCCAAGCTTAGTAAATGCCGGCTGGGCCAGAGCCGAGTGGGGCCAGCACCCTGCGGAAGACCAGTGAGCGCCCAGCCCAGCCCAAGGGCTCACCTTGACATTGGGCATATACTTGGAAAAGCGCTCATACTCCTTGCTGATCTGGAAGGCCAGCTCCCGAGTATGGCACATGACCAGGACCAACACCTGTGGGGTAGGAGGAGAGGAGTCCTTAAGTCAAGGTCCTAAACTTTCCAGGGCCCAGAGCCCACACTCCTGCAGTCTTCCCTTCGTGGGCCACGTTTGGGCCTCCCCCTCATCACAGCCCTACACCCTCTCCCAGCTACTGAGGCTGCTCTCCTTCCCCAGCAGATGCCTGCATTAAGGCTAACGAGGCCCAGCCCAAGCCAGGTGAGCTGAGCCCATGTTCGCTAATGGAACTGTGTTCAGTATAATCCCCCCTTCATGAAAACATACAAACAATCCAGGAGAGCAGGCGTTTAAAATAATAGTGATCTGTGCTCAAACTATGGGCACTTTTCTTTTAGCTTATTGGTTTCTGATTTTGTTTACTTAAATCCTATATTTGATTTTAAAAGCCCACAGAAAGGATACGTGGACAGATGTTTCAGACAAGGCAAAAAGAAGAGGAAGCAGCATGGCTCCTGGGAAGGGCAAGCCCTCTGCTGGCTGCGTGGGTGGCTTGGGCTGGGCGGGGAGGTCACCCGTACCTGTCCGTTGATGGGCTCGATCTGCTGCAGGGTGGCCAGCACAAAGACTGCCGTCTTGCCCATCCCGGACTTGGCTTGGCATAGGATGTCCATCCCCAGGACGGCTTGGGGAATACACTCGTGCTGGACTGTGGCAGGAAAAGGGAATGAGCAGCCGGATGCTGGGTGTCCCCCCACGGGCTCCTCAGGGACTAGCTGAGGGACCCCAGTGAAGGAGAGAGAGGAGGCCAAGTCTCCTCCCCATCACAAAGGACTGAGGGGCTAGGGTGTGTGCCTGGTAAAGCAGAGTTCCACACTGCTAAGGGCAGCCACTGGACACCGGTGGGCCAGGGGCCCCACCAACCCCACCAGGCAGGCAGGTGCTCCCACCACCCAGGGGCAGAAGAGCTGGTCTTGGTGAGAGGGCCCTGGCTGGGGGAGGAGACAGGGAAGAATACCCTCAGACGGATGCTCAAAGCCACAGTCCACGATGGCCCTCAGCAGCTCTGGCTTCAGCAGAAAGTCCCGGAAGCCAGAGCTGTGGATGGAAACGTAGGAGCCCTTGACGTCTTTCTTGGGGGGGGCTGGGGCGCTTTCTGGGGGAGCCTGGGGCTCGTCATCTTCCTCGTAATCCAGAAGCTCCTGTTCCACATCCTGCTCTGCCATGGTGCTGAGAACAGAGACGAGGGCAGTGAGCTGGGCGCGTGCAGGAAACCTGCCCACCCACAGGGGCACAAGTCCCTGAGGGGCCTGACACAGCGTCCTCACAGCAGGCCTGGAGGCCCACCTGGCCAAGACCACACCACCAGCCTGACTCCCTCCCCCACCTCCACATGGAATCATAAGCAGGTCTGGTCAGCTCCACCCAGGAACTGCCTCCAGCTCCATCCTGTCTCCCCACTGGCCCTCATAAAACACACACCACCACCAAGATCCCCAGGTCCCAGACAGTTTGCACCAGGCTACCAACAATGGGCGCAGGTACAGCAAGGTTCGTGGGGCTGGCACAGGACCGGGCAGTGTTTTGTTCTGCTGTACAGGAGATGATTCGACGGCACATACCACCACCAAGCAAATGATTGGCAGTTCAAACCCACCTAACAGTGCCATGGAAGAAAGGCCAAGAGATCTGTTTCTATAAAGATTATACATACCACGAGAAAGCCACAGAGTCATTGAGTTGGAGGCAGACTCAGCAGTTAAAACACACACCAGGTGGTCACACCCACACACCTGCAGAGAGCCCCTTTAAAGGCTCCCTAGTGCTCTCAGTGAGCCCCAGTCCCATGGCCCAGCCCACCTCACTCAGCTCCACCCCACCTCACTCAGCACCACCCCCTCTCATATCAGCCCAGGCCCTCTGCTTCTCAGACCCAAGGAGCATGTCGAACCTCTGTACCTGAACGCTCTGCTGCCAGATCCTCTCAGTGCTAATGTGCCTCCTCAGAAACCCCAGGCTAAAGCAGCATCACTTCCTAGGGGCCCCACCAGGCCACAGTGCAGGACCCCAGAGACCTAGAGATGGGGTCACCGCCCTCAAGAAGGCTGCTGCACCGATGGACAAGGGCGTTCATCGGGAATGGTGTCTGCCCAGCCCAGCCTCTCCTGCTATTTGTGGTTGGCACAGGGGAATAATTAAGTGCTCTCATGAAAAGGCCTCCCGTCGGGCCCGGGGCCAAAAAAATAAAGACAAGATAGCAAATGGAATTAATACAATGCTTGCTCACCTCCTCACATTTAATCCAAAATGTACAGAGTGCCCTCGGGGTGCAGCTGTGCTACCCGGGGCCCAAACCTGAGGACAGTCTCCCTCCGCCCTTGCCATCCCAGCTCAGCCTTCAGCCCAGGGGGGCAAGGAGTGCAGAAGCAGTGTCCTAGGCCCGGTTTCTGGCCCTCCTTACTCTGTGTGACTTCATCCAGTCCCCAGATTTAAATATCTTGGGCTGACCTCTCTCAAGCCTGTCTCTGGTGGCAACCTCACCCCTGACCTCCAGGCTCGTTTATGCAGCTGTCTCCTCCACGTCTCCCCTTGAACTCAAAATGCCCAGAACACAACTCTGTTTCTCCCCATCTCATAGGCAGCAATTCCCGTTTCTCCATGTTGGCCTCTTCTCTCACTTTGCATGGCCAACCCACCAGCAAACCCTGCCTGGTCGCCCAGCCACTCCTCACACTGCTTCCATATTGGCCATCACCTCCTTTTTAAAAAAAAAAAAAAAAAAATTAGAGCTGCGTTATGGAGACATAATGCACAAACCTTACAATTCACCCATTTAAAGTACAATTCACAGATGTGTGCAACTACACTACAGTCAACTTGAGAACATTTCATCACCTCAGAAACTCCACACCCTCAGCTATCCCCCACCCTCCCATCTCCCGGCAACTGTTAGCTAACCCACTTTCTGTCTCTCTGCACTTGTCCACAGTAGACATTTCGTGTCAATAGAATCATACAGTACAACACACGCTGGCGACACTGCAGGTTGGTTCCAGACCACCGCAATAAAGGGAGTGTCACAACAAACTGAATCACGTGAACTTTTTGGTTTCCCAGTGAACAGAAAAGTTACAGTGATGACAGACTGAAACACGGCAATGACCATGAGGATGGCGCAGAACCAGGCAACGTTTCGCTGTACAAAATGTTACTATAAATCAGAACCGACTCGAGGGCACCTAACAACAACAACATAGTCTATTCAGTGTGTAAGAGCATTATAAAAAAGGCTGAAATATCATGAGAATTACTGTGACAGAGACATGAAGTGAGCACGTGCTATGGGAAAAATGGTGCTGACAGACTTTCTCAGTGCAGGGTTGCCACAACTTCCAATTTGTTTTAAAAGAAAAAATGCAGTATCTGAGAAGTGCAACAAAATGAGGTATGCGTGTGGTCTTTTGTGCCTGGGTGCTTTCAGAGAGCACAATGTTTTCAAGGTTTATCCAACTGTAGCACAAATCAGAGCTGGATTCCTTTCATGGCTGAGTAACACTCCATTGTGTTTCCCTGTTCATCCACTGCTGGACACTTGGACCCCATCCTCTCTTGCCTGGATTACAGGAGCAGCTTCCTCACTGATCCCCTGTCTCACCCCCTCCCACGGCAGCCAGAGGAAAGGGTTCCTCTGTTCACAACCCCCACCCCCTCATGGCTCTCACAGTGCTCAGCGTACCATGGCCTATCTCACCCTGACCCCCGCTGCCCTCAGATATCATCCCCGTTGTCCCTCTCTTACTGGCCTCGCTGCTGGACTCCAACTCACCTCTATGCCTTTGCTCTGATCCTCCACTCACGTTTTGTCATTCCAGAAGGGTCTTTCCTAAGGGTCCTAACTAAAACACCACACTCTTCAGTCACGCTAGACCCCTGCCCCAGCTTTTTGTTCTTCACACCTGTCATTCTTACCTGAGTAGCTGTTTTGTGTGGCTTACTTGTGTCCCCAGCACCTGGGCCTGGCACACAGCAGGGAGGCACTGACTAAATAACAATTGAATGAACAAAGCCAAAATCAAGGCCTCTAGGCAGAGTTCTGGGGTTAAAGCAAGGAGGCCCGTTACTCGATCCTTGAAAGTGGCAGCAGCTGGTAAGGTCCCTGAAGATTCTAACTAGCAAAAGCAGAAAGGGGACATTCCCCAGGCAGCAGGGGAAAGGACAGTATTTTGGGGAACACCAGTAGGACTGCGTGGCTGTACAGGCAGACCAAGATGGAAAAAGCTCACTAACCCAAGGCATTTGTTATTAATTTGCTCCACAACAGTAATCACTAATGAGGTTCTGAGTTGAGTGACTCAACCAGGATGAGGATGGAGTGAAGCGTGAGGCTAGCACCGGGAAAAGCCAGGGTGGGGGCACTAAGCAGGGTGAACAACTCACTCTGGATGACCCAAGGATGAAGGAAAGCCAGAGTCATCCACTCTGGGCTTCCACCTTTGTGGACAGGAGGAGATGGTGTATTTAACAGAACTGTTGTTGTTGTTATGTGCCATCCAGTCAGACCTGACTCATAGCGACCCCTCCTTGGATTTCGAGGCAGTATCACTACAGAAGTAGACTGCCCAAACTTCCTTCCAAGGAGTGGCTGGTGGGTTGACTGGTTAGCAGTCAAGTGCCTTAGGCACTACGCCACTAGAACTCCTTTAACAGAATTAGGGAGGTCAAATGAACTGTTCACGGCTTTTTGGTTGGTTGGTTGGTTGGTTGGTTTGTGGGAACATGAATTTGAATGACTGAGTTTGAGGCACAAAATTTTCCAGGAAGTGGCTAGAAAGCATATGAAGCTCAAAGAAAATTAGATCAAAAGGCCATAGGTTTTGGCGGGCCCCCTAGAGTGATGGAACTTGGAAGCTGACACTGGAATAGTGACAACCCAAATACGACAGAAGAGACCATTTTCTGGAGAAGGATGTCATACTTGGTAAAGTGGAGGGTCAACGAAAAAAGGGAAGGCCCGCAACGAGATGGATTGACACGGTGGCTGCAGCGATGGGCTCAGGTATAGTAGGGATCAATGTGGCTGGCACGGGACCCGGCAGTGTTTCGTTCCGGTAGTGTTTCGTTCCGTTGTACATCAGGTCGCTGTAAGTCGGAGGCGACTCGATGGCACATAACAAAAAATACAGCACTCGCACATTTGCTCTTAAGTGAAGTCTTTCCATCCGGAGTTTGCTCCCTACTGAGGACTTCTGTCCAAAAGAACATCTTTTCTCCCTAAATTCTGGAACCTCGAATCCCCCAAACGCGGAGCAAGAACAGAGCCAAGAAAGACGGGAGGCCCGTCCCGTCTCGAAGGTCTGGTTTCTCCCATCTCAGCCCTGACTCCCAGCGTCGCCCCCGCGACCTCCCCAGAGCGCCCTGTGCTGCCTCGGGATCTGTTTGGACAAAAGACAGACGAATGGGTCTCTAGGCGAGCTCAAGACAACACTACCCAGAAAGACCACGGCGTCCCGCACCCCAACGGGCGGCCCGCCCCTCGCGCATGCGCCCTTGGGCCCAACGGCTGTCGCGCGCACCGGGCGCCCCAACGCCCGCTCGCCCCACTCCTAACCCCCCATCTTCCACGCCCTTCACTCCGGCGTCTCCCCTTACCCGCTGACTCTTAAGCCTAGCGGCTCCACGCCGTAGCCCCGCTGCTCACCTGCTTCTCCTTTTGCCTCCGCGTGCTGCGAGAACAGCCGACCAAGTCGATTATCAGTCTCGCGCGCCGACACGAGCTGCCGCGCTTCCTGGCTCCTAGTCACCTGGAGCTCCACTCACTGGACCACTGCTTTGTCACTCAAGAGAGTCAGTGGCGGTGATTGGATAACCTGGGAGACCTCGGTAGACTACTGGTGAATAAAAGAGAAAGGGGGCGGGGCCCCCTACTCGGGTTCATTGGCCAATCTAAAACTAGGCATGCTCGAGTGGGCTAAGGCAGGCACCGCCCCCGCGCTGTCACGTGACGGGGAATTTAGCCGCTGCGGCCGTTGCCATGTTTAGTACTGGCAACTGAAGCTGGGTGGATTGGTCTATGATGGGTGCCCCAACATTATGAGATGTGATTTCTGCATGGGGCACCGAACCGAGCGTTTCAGAGTGGACATCACTCCATGGTCTCCTAGTCCTCCACAGTAGAGGCTCTGAAAGGTTCGGAATGAGTCCAGCCTAGAGAGAACAGACGTTTTGC